TCCTTTCGTTGCCCCCCCACCGCTCACAGCCCCCTTAGGGCCATGGCGGCTGCTGTCGGCCTCAGGGCCACAACTAAGGCATGTCTGCAGGTCTACCTCCTGTGGAAGGCAGGCCTCCCATTCTGACTGTGCCTGCTCCTCCAGGGCATTAAGATCCTTCAAGGCCATTTTTCACTCGATCTCGAACCTGGGTTTGAGGCCTAATAAAGACCTTAAAGGTCAGGTTAGAGAGTGGGCTGCATAGATTCAGACTATACCCTCAGTTCCTGGACTGGACTATGGCAGGGGTAGACAGGGCACAGGAATGGAAGAGGCTGTTTTAGAGCTGACGTCCAAAGGATCTGGGCCCTAGGGGAGAAGGGAGCTTCTGGTTAAGAGGGTCTGAAGAGAGGACAGCTGCAACCTCTCGCAAAGAGAACTGGCCGGCCACCTGTGAATTAATGTGCTGCCGTCATGGTGGCGGAGTTTCGGTGGAGTGCACAGAGGAAAGCGGGCGGTTAGACCTTACAGAGGGCACTGCGTGGGGTACAGGTTACTAAGGCAGGCCTGTAAGGAGAGGGGAGAGAGCAGGAGAGGCGGCCTGGGTGGGCTTGGGAGAGGTATGGGCAGTTGAGTTTAAAAGACGCAACCTCCCAGGGGCAGAACGGAGGAGGAAGGACAGAAGGAAGGTAGAGCCTATGGACGTGTGTGTACCAACTGGGAAAGCAGGCAGGGGTGGGGTGGCAGGGGACCTGAGTTGCCAGCTCCCGCAGCTATGGCTTTAGCGGCTGTGGCAGTGCAAGGACGGACCCGCTGCATGGCAGCGGAATGGGGCAGTGCGCACAGAGGCTGCGTGCAGGGACATGGGGTTGTAAAAGGAGGTTTGAGTTTTCCTGCTGCCCTGGGGTGGATGGAAGAAGGGAGGCGGGGTCAGGAGGCAGTGGAGAAGGCATGGCTGGAAGAGAGTCCAGCAGGGAGGGAGGAGGGGAGAGTGTGGACAGACACGGGCTTATGCCAGCGGGAGAGCCGGCGGCTTTCGCTAGGGGAATTCTGGGGAGTTCTTAGGTGGAGAGGGTGAGGGGATGCGGAGACGATGGCGGTGCCGCCATTGCGTCCCACACACAGCACATGAACCCACCCCCACATGCACCACGCACACCTCGAGCTTGGCGGTGCAGGGACAGCCCGGAGGGATAAA